GTCTTCTCAAATTTAGATCACAATTAGATTCCTTTTCAGTACTACTGTAGATCTTATCTAAAAGTTACATATGGTTATAAACAACTGTCTACAGACATTGGATGAAAACCTCACAAAAAAAAAAGAAATTATTGTTGTTTCAACTGCTTAGTTAAGTTTAATAATTTTATTTGAACATGTAATAAATATAAGTTGTTGTTTTATGATATCTTTACCCTCTTCAGGGTATCAATCATTGTCTAGCTGCATTTGAAAGTTTTTTCTTAATACTTAAACTCAGATAAAATTCTGAATATAAAAGTTTTTACATGTTTTTCATTTGGTTTAGAAAATAATCATAACTACCAAAATAGACACTGTTCACTTCTAATCCTTAAAAATTTGGAATAATACAGTCTAAAAAGAAATTTAATAAGTAGAAAGTAATCACAATAAGTTAGCTTCTGCCCATATATAAATGAAAATGTGCTTATATATATTTTATGTTGACTAGTGATACATCAGTAGTGGTCCCATACTTGCAGTTCTCAAAATGCAGACACAAATGCATGTATTCAAAAGTCAAGACACAAAAACTATTTGTCAGCAAGAAGTTGAATACAGAATTCCTGATAGAAATGTGAAACTGTAGCACCAAAAGGCACTAGAAAGTGATATCACACTGCTAGATTTTTATAAACCATTTACTGATTACCAGGTTGACTTGCTTTATCTTCTTGGTCAAATTAAGTGATATCACACTGCTAGACTTTTATAAACCATTTACTGATTACCAGGTTGACTTGCTTTATCTTCTTGGTCAAATTCACTGCTCTCAAAATTCTGCAAAAATCACAAATTATGCCATTTCAAAATTTTTCTTTTACATATTAAAATTACTATAGTAGATCATAGCAATGCTGGTGATAAAAATGTATCTTATAGCATATCTTTTTGAACATTTTTATACTCTAGCTATAACAGTTGATAAAGTAATTAACATACACAATAACTCAACATTACCTGGCACTACATTAAGCTTAGTATTTCATTACAAAATATTAGAATGAAGAACAATATGAAATTAATACATGATAAACCATCATTTTTACTTCAATCCTCAATTCTGACCACTCCTCTTTTTTGGAGGAAAGTCTGCATGCTTAGAAGTAAAAAACATATCTTTCACAAATATCAAAATGTATTCATTCATGACATGAAACATATGCATTTGCTGGGAAATACAGTAAATTGCATTTTTTGCAAGCATAAAGCCTCAAAGCATCGTTGAGCAATGAGTGGAACTTGTAGGCCTCCCCCTGTTCACTAGGCTTGGCATAACTTGTTTTCTCTTTAAATAATCCCTTGCAGATTCAGGGTACAGTGATGCACTGAAATGTTTTCTGAAAATTTGATACCTGTCTGCAAATGTCATTTTAGCAATTAATTTTACTTGCAATGCACACACATTTCATGACAGAGGTATTGTGAAGACATATATTTTAGGAGTGAGGATCACAAACATAAAACTAGTCATTTAAGTGTTAGTAAATTATGTAAACAAAATACACTGAGTTACAATGTGTAGGGTAAGCTATCTACCTGGTACCTACACATACTTAGTTCACAAAAACTAGAGTTACAAATAATTTATAAAACATGTATTTTCATCTAGTCATAAAGTACACACTGAAACATATCCTGTTTATTAAAACAACAAAAGAGGTGTGTAGGTAAAAAAACATTAACATCCATCACCAATTGTTCCAGAAATAGCCAGCAGTGCTCTCTAATTAATATATTTTATTCATTTCACCTCAGTATATGCAAGTACATCAAGTGGACATTGGCTAAAATGTCCAAACTCATAAAGAGAAAGCAGTGTATGTTCATAAATGAGGTAATTAAAATTGAGATCATCCATGTAGAAACTGGATAGATGGACAATATCATCTAATTCTGCAGAGCCTGATTTGACTAATCAGTCCAATGACTAAATCAACGGAAACACACCTGTGAACATCAGATCTATTTTCTAATGAAAAAAAGGTACTTTGTATAAATATTTGGCTAGAATAGTTTGAGTGTATCATTATTTGTCAAAATGGTGAGAAACTTTCACTTTCCTTCTCCATGATTCAGAATCTGAGAAAGCAGTATTATTACTGCCTGTCATCCATTTAGCTCTATTCAAGTCATTCTACTGTAGTTCATACTTATATATCATTGCCTCAATTTGAACGGATGTAGTCAATACATTCATGGATACGAGTTGGAGACCATGTTACAAAGTTTTAGAAGATTATTTAATGTTGTCAGAAAAACACAATTCAAAATCCATGCCTTTTTTCTTCAGGGCTGTGGCTTTTTCAGCAGTTTTGTACTCAACTGTGCCATCCTTGTCTGAATTTCTTTGACAACACCATGCTGTTCTGTGGAACCTTCATTGAAGCTAAATCATTTTTTGCACAATACCCAAATTCTGGAATTGATTTTTCAACTGCAGTAATGTAATTTTTGAGGCTGGAGCAAAAGGCTAAGTTTCAATATTTAAACCATAACTTTTAAAATATTATAATGCACATATACATAAATATAGTTTTAGATAATCTTTTGAAAGTCATTGTCTGCCCAACCTGATAAGTCCTGGTATTAAACAAAAGGCCTCTTCAATAGTGAATTGTGGAAAACAAAAGATAGATTTGAATCTATATATATCCAATTTTGAATCCAAAATAGACAAATTAAGAGGAACATGTAAAAAGACATTTGCAATTAGTGAGAGTTTTCTCACATATTTTAGGTCAATTGGTATTACATATCTTTACTGTTAATAGCCTGCATCTAGTCATTTCTGACAAACACAGTTAAATGAGCAAATTATTCAACAATCAACAATTTCTCTGATCAAATAAAGAATTATGGATATTATCTTGTCATAATTTTATTGTATCAAAAGCAATCTTAACCCCAGGTAAAAGTGGTTGCATTTGTAACTTGTAATAAGTAAAAAATATATTTAGTTGAAACTACACTGTTATTTACACTTATAAAGTAAACATTAACAACAGGCATCACCGAACCTAGTTATATAATCAATGGTGATTAGGCCACACACTTACATTCGTGAGTTGCATACAAGTAAATAGCATGCAGACACCGATGGAAAAACTAATAGTTAATATTTGGATTACTTAGATAATTGGAATAATAAAAAAATAGTGATAATCTGAAACTCTAATTTCAAGAATCATGACACTAAATGATTAAGTTTAATATCCTTTAATTAATCAAAATAACAGAGATACTTTGATTATTTGGATACACATATACTACAACAGTAGTAATTGGAAATACTAATTCTGATTAGGTTATTAAAATATGCATATGGCAAGGTGGCATACTGATTTGGGCAGAGATCAGTATTAGTGGTCACAGTGACTTTATGTGCAATGACATGGCATTATGAATAACAAACAGTATAGGGATGTAGTTTTACAACCAACAGGGTTCTCATATGCATATGTAGTTGATGGAAATGGATAGTCCTGAATCGTAACTGCACCAGGCAAGCAAAGACACCCTAATATATGTTTGTGGACATCCAACTCAAACAATCAACCCCATTATAAATGAGTGCCCTAAACACAATTTTTTAAGAGGTATCATTGTCCTCCATGTAGCAAACACCTGACACTGTCAAATGGATCTTAGACCTTGATATACAGTTCATGTTAAGCTTGATCACGTTAAGCACATCACAATGATGTACAACTTACATCAGTGATTGATGTGATCATAAACTATTAACAAACCTTTTCTGACCATTCAATGTTCTACAATACCTGTAGTACAATTTTAACATTTGTAGATATCAGCTCCAATAGGTACCACTTGCATATCCAATCACAAATGCTCACCTAAAACTTGTTTCGTACACAATAAACTCAGCAGTGCCACCTGTCTCTTACATTGAACTTTACTCATAATATCAGTCTTCTCTAACTTAGTTTGATGTCTAGAAACTGGTTTAGATAAGAAAAGTTTACTTTTTTGTATGTTCTCATGAAGATGATGTACACTATTTTAAATTTTTCCTGTTTGCAATGCAAGATTCCTAATGAACAAAGATAATAACAGCCTGTAGCTATTGTATTATTACTGTAGTGAATCTGAAGTTGTAAACCAATTAATATATGAACTTTTAGCCTATGAGATTAACAAAGGTAATGCTTTTCCATTAGGATCTATAAGTAGTGAAGTATGATGAGTCAAACAAATCACTTCTTGAGTACTTGTAAAGTTTTAAAGTGGGTAGAATTAATTTTGTAGCCAACCAACAAATTTGGAAATTTACAAATCTTCTAATCCTTAATCACATATGATTCTTTAAATCAAAGATGTGATCTTCCACATTGTAACTACCACAAGGATATTACATTTAGTCCTGAGTCAGTATATTGCTTAAATAAATGAACTAGTTACCATGATATGAGTACCATGTTAAGTGTGTAAAATATTTTCTGTACTTAATTCTGAATTTGTCTTTATATTTAACTTTAAACGAAAAAGATTTAAAGCATTTATGAAAACAGAAGGTCACAACAGACACTCTGTCCATCTTCAAATATTTATCACAGGACATCCCAGTCACAAACAGTGTATTTAGGTATTGCTCATCACAGCCCATTCTGATACAAAATATTCATATACTCAGACCATAAAGATGTTTCAGATCAGAGATTTAGAATTTCCACAAAAAAGGATATCCCTTGTACTTAATGGCATTGGAAAACAAAGGAATATGGATCAGCTTGAGGCATGCAGACTGTTAGAAATAGAACTGCAGCAAGTTATATCCAGCAATAGTAAGCAAAGTGTGACATCATGTACCAATTGATAATTCATGATCACAATAAAAGTCATTGACATAAATCATCCAAGTGTCTCAGACAACACTATGCAACATAATCAACAAAGACCTCCAATTGGAAATGAGGCCAACAGGATATGAGGGTGTATGCTATACCATATGAAGCACCTATGGAATTCTGTGTGATCAGACTGTTGAAATGGGCAATGTGAAAATGTTGTCCTTATACACTAGATGGATTATGGCAAGCATGCAGGGAAAAGTGATGTGCTTTGGACATGACAGCTGTATGATGGAGCCTTTTACTACATTGGAAACTATGCTGGAAGGCTATTGTAAATATGCATGGTCATCAGATAGAGTATGACCAGACATTTTGACCTAAGCTGTAACAACGTTTTTAAAACCATTTGAGATAGAAATAAACAACAAACACATGCAAATACAAGACATTTGCAGCTTTATTCCATGCATTGATAGGTTTTATGTACACAGTCAGGAAGTTTAAATATTTCTACTCTACTCCTCCCCCCCCAAACAAAACAGAAAAAGGGTAATTTAAATTTATTTACTAATTTTGTGTGGTGGTTACCACGTTGGTGAAATCAATCAACCCCACATAGTTATGGCAGATGAAATAACATACAAAATATTATGTCTTTCTGAAAAGAAACATTTGATGTATATTTAGGAGGTTGTAGAGAACACGCAAATGAAATTTGAAAAATTTCAGATCAAGAAAAGTATTTTCAATCTTAACATGAAAATGACTTTGTACTTGGAGCAGTCAACAATGACTATAAATTTACAGACAAATTTTTAGCAAAAATACTAAATTAAAATTTTGATTTTTTGTTTTCGTCTACAAAGAACTGTAGTGTTTACTGAAATCTTGCCATATTTTGTGAAGCTATATTAAGTACTTTCAGAGTTATAGTAACTACAAGTTAACATTGTGACTACAAGTTCTGGTAAAATATATGAATACATTGCAAAAGGATTGATATTTGCATATACACAAATAATGGGACTTGTTAAATAAATCATTTGCATAAACATGAAAAATTTCCAGGCAGTACTGTAAATTCTGCTAGATTTATTAGAGAGGCCAAAAATACCATTACAATGAGGTTGAGAGCAATACAACCCCAACCTGACTGTGCATGGGGGTTTATGCTTTAATTATACTGGACAACAAAAAAATTTCTCTGCTACTAGAAAAATTACAACTGTTGAAAATTACTCATCACCTCTAGTTTTTGAGTTATGATAGGTTTATTCAAAATATTCTGATATATCATGAAAACTTTAATTACTTTATTTATTCATTGAAAATTGCATTTTTTAAGTATGTATAACCTGCATGCTTTGTTAAGTTTCTTTCATTTTCACAGCATGAGCAATAGGAATATATGACTTAGTGTTCCCATTGTACAAAAGTACAGCTTTCAGACTAACTGTAGAGGAATCAGTAAAAAGTCTCCATTCTTGAACATGATGTTCAGTACCTAATTTTTCCAGTAGTACATCAACATTTCTATAGAAACACAAAGTATCTTGCATGCTATAGTGAGAAGCAAGACTTTGATAAGACAAGTCACAAATCAGATCATTTGGCTCTTCTTGTGTGATCACATGAAGCAGTTTATGTTGTGGTACCACAGGAAGAGAATTACTAGATGAAGAGGACTCATTGTCTTCTTTACAGGATGACTTTTGTTTTCCAATTCACTGGTGGATGTGGCTCTGGAAGACCATCCTCATGAGGTACAGGTTTCATTACAGATGCAATCTCTGGACATTTAATGTATTGCTTAGTTTTGTCTTAATATTCAGAAATATTAGTCATGCAAAAATAACAGTCAGTTAGATGATCTTTTGGCTCACATGATATCATGAAAACTTAAAATGTCATACTTGCTTTCTTCTTATTCAGCCACTGTGCCAAGCCAGGTGTGCAAACTGTACAATGCACATGTTGAGCCCAAAGTTTTTACACCCAAAATAGTGTTAGTAAGCTACCTTTACCTTGTGTAGGATGTTTTTCCTTCATGAAACTGTAATGTATTTTCCACAAATGTAGCAGAAACTGTTTGAGTGATTTTTACACTTTTGGACTTTACTTGAACTGCAAGCAGCCAGAATTTCAAATGATTTTCCAAAAAATATAAAAGAATTTATGTTTACTAAACTAGAGTTTAAAAGATTGTAAAAAACAAAATTTTGCAGAATTTGATTATATTGCAGGTATGATCAGACTATGTTTTGACTGTGTGCAGATAAAGACAAAGTGACAAACTGAGGGTATGAGAGGCAACTGTGAGAGGCATCTAACTCTGACCCTTTTATGCTTAGTCAAGGGACTTCTTGAATGTTCTAGCAAACTGAACACGTGAGGATTTTGTGATTCCCGGGAGAGCAGGTGAGCATAGGAATGAAGCAAAAGTGATGCAAGAACAAATAGCATGTATGAACATCATAGTTGGAATTATATACCAATACAATACAGTCAGTGTTTGAAGTTATCAAAAATCTATGCCTTTTACCCATTAAATAATCTACTGTACTGAGTTGATTGCATGGTATTTCACATAGTGCTGATAAAATATTGAAATATTACAATAACTCAAAATCTAGAGGTGGTGGACAAATTCTGACTCCATTCTTGAAATCAGCACCATAAAATTATTCCAAATCACTTGTATTTCCTCCAGTTTCAAATTTTTTGCTGTCCAGTGTTAGGGGACACTACAAAAGATGGGAAGTATAAAATTTTCAATTTCAATTTTACAATATTTTGCACATTGCCTGAGCTTGGATTTCAATGAAACGAATACCACAAATATTGTTAAAAATTCAGTCAATCACTATAGTCACATCAAGACTCAAAGAAACATACGTTGGATACAAATCGTGGAAAAATCAGTTTTATAAATATGCCAACAGCACCTCACATCCCGAGATGTTTTTATAAAATTACAGGATAAAATTTAGCCAAATATTCAGATAGACTTTGGAATTTGCTAGATTTTATGCTGGACAGTAAGAATTTAAATGAAATTCTATTATATCTGAGCTACTTTCTATTTGCAAGAACAAAATGATTTTCACACATCTTATAGAGATAAACAGAACAAGTTTTAAATGAACAAGCCTTTAATCAAAAACAGAGAAAAGTTACAACCACTAAAGCTAGACTTAAGAAACTGTGTGCTCTATTTTAATGTAATGTTCATACTTGAACCTATATGAAGAATACTTACATATATGTATATATACGTGATACAAAGTTATATATTCTACTTCAGATAACTTGTAAATGCAACATACGATTAATGATTTTGTGCAATTTTGCAACAAAGCTGAAGGTAGTTTTTTGAAACTCACCGTTAAATAATGAACATAAGCCATAAGTTGCAAATACCTTAAAAAATGTGTGATGATAATTATTACCTCTAATTCTTGCATAACTTCATCAATGAAATCTGTTGGGTTTTTCTTGTATTGTACAGCACAACGAATAGCATCTTGAAACATCTATAAAAAAAAATGCTTTTTGCTCAAATTACATGTTATTAACTTTGATTCTCAGCATTCAGAATAAATAACTTGTACACTAATCTGTTTGTTTTAGAAGATTACTGACTTAGTAGATATAGTTAATATATCATGAAAATATATTTTTTTAGTGTCTTGTTTGATTTAGTGCTAGATGATACTGGGTGAGTTTGCCAAGTAATTGTTTTTCACTGCTTATTTTATACTTCTTTTTGTTGATGTAGATGACACTGTTTCATTTTCAGATTTCTATAATGAACCTAAGAACGATATTTATAGTTTATAATAATTAACTTACTTACACAAACACAATGTCTCACCTTAACAACATTTGTTCCATCTGATGCAGAAACGAAATAGAAAGGCATGCCAAACTTCTTTGAAAAATTGAAGCTCTTCTTAGTTACCTTAATATCCACTGAAACAAAATGAATATCAGTATCTATGTAACAGTAGTACAGATTTTATATCTTTTAGGTTACATGTATGTAAATAAAAAATTTAATTATTAATGTTCAACTTTTCTACAATATGCCTTAAGAGATAATTTTGATTAATTAACCCTCCGTTAGTCACATGGGGTGTATTTAAATCCCAAGTATTAGGTCATCAAGAAATTAGTGTTGCTTTTTTAGATGAAAAAAACCCAAACAATTTATATGTATCAAAACAAAACATATATTAAATGAAATAGTCTCCATTTTTATCAATGATGCTTTTTTCTATCTTTCAATCAGGTTGTTAATGCCCTGATAAAAGAAATCACTTGGCTTTGAAGCAAAAAACAGGTTGATGTTCTCTTTAACACCTTCCACATTTGCATAAATTTTCCATTAAGATGGTGTTGCAGCAAGCGAAAAAGTTGGTAATCTGATGTTGCCATATCTGGAGAATATGGTGGGTGTGGGAGAACTTTCCAACCCAACTCCATAATCTTGTGTTGCGTCAAACATGCCACATGTGGACCTTTCCAATTGAAGAGTGAAGGGCGTTTCTGATGAAGAGCTTGATTTAAACATTCCAGTTGCTGACTGTAGATCTCTGCATTGACAGTTCACTGTGGATTTGGGAGTTCAAAATGAAGTACTCTTTTGATGTCCCTTCAAATGCAAAGCATCACTTTCTGTGGATGGAGTCCAGGTTTTGGGGTCAGAAGTGGTTTTTGTCTAGGACTAAGCCATTGTTTTTGGAATTTAATAAACGACTAGAGAATCCACTGTTTATCACCGGCGACAATGATCATCAGAGAGTTTGTGAGGCACCCAAACACCTTCTTTATGGAGTCTTCCCATATTCCTTAGATGTTTACATATTGTTTCATGAGAGACATGCAATTTCAGGGCCATTTCACGTGTGGCCTTGGGTTAGACTCAGCAAGCTTCTTCAGAGCATCAATATCAATTCCAACATGTCAGCCCCTGCCATCACAATTTTTAAGGCTAAAGTCACCTGGACAAAATTTGCTGAACCTTCATTGACACTTATGAATATTTATAACATTTCCATAAACTTCTTTGATATCCTTTGTGGCTACAGAGGCATTGTTTTCCTTTCTTGTATTCACACAGCATTACATGCCAAATGTGTGTCTCGCCGTGTGCCATCACTACAAGGGATTAGAGTATGCTAAATTTTACACATAATATAGGCTACACAATGGGACGTTTAGGCACTTTTTTTAACTATTATATGCGATATATGTTATTTGGGGGGTGGTTAATGAAAGTGTTCCAAAGCACAACATTAATTTCTTGATGACTTAATACATTAGTTGACCTCATCACTAAGAGATAGCAGCACTGATGCAGTTGTTGTTCACAGTACTTTCCCTAAATCCCTGATAGCATGAGCACTTTGTTCTTCTACCTCAGCCTCAGTGAAAGCAGCACATGTTTTGTTCTTGCTCCAGCACACAAAAATCCCACAGTACTAAATCAAGGTGTATTTCTGAGAAGGCTTATATCTTTATTACTTTGTTATTCTTGATTCAATTAATGTTTCCAGAGCTAATTTATTCTGAATATGAAGAAATTTTGTAATTTTTATTTTTGGTATTTCAAACTATTCATGTTTTATTTTTTTTAACATTGAGAATGTACAGTGACATTAAGTGAGATGATTAGGCATTTTTGTTGTTGTTAATAAACTAATTATGTTTTTGTTCAAAATAACTTTTAAGAAGATTTTTAGTTGTAAAACATATTTACTTTACCTTTGGAATGATGTTTTTTGTTTGTCAAATAAAATATGAACAATATTTTTGTAATAATTTCATTATTCCTCTACTAATACTACCCATACTTTAAAAATTAACCAAAATGCTATGGAAATGGTCACAAGATACTTAATTTACAAATATACACAGACATATTTTAGTTATAATAATAAATCATATTTATTATCTTTTTTCTTCTGGATAGAGCGTGACCCAACCCTGTGGTACTAATGTTGTCTGGCAAACTGATGGTACTAGCATAGGGTTAAGTGGTACTACAAAATAGTTTAAATAACATGAAAATGGTAAATAGCTACTTTCAAACAAGAAGGTGCAGCATTTAAAAACAAGCATGTGTTACACCTAAGCATAAGTTGGAGTAAGTTAAAAGTTGAAATAATTCACCATTCAGCCAATGACTATTATTTGTTTTTATCTATTGTAGAATATACTACTTCTCATTAACTCAAGTAATCTACACAAATGATAGTAAACATAAATTTTATTGTCCAGTTCATAATTTTACAAACAGTTTTGCAGTTGAAATCAAATGTAGTTAGTTTGACTTTGAAACTTAAGTTTCCCACAAGAAAAACATTCAAGTATTGAATCTAATTCCGTAGCAGTGTAATTCAAAGTTAATGTTTTCCTACACTGAAAATATATTTCTGATAGCCACTTACCTCATCTCACATAATAGTAGCTTCTCTCATTCATTGCTGCCCCCCCTATATGTTTACACTTGCTACTAGCCTTGAAACTCCCATCTACCCCAAGTTCAACATGGTTTTATTGCATCTTTGCATGCAAATAAGCAAGTACTAACTCTCCACCAATAAAAGTGCAACACACGTTCCTGATGCAGGTTAGGCCCTCTATACTTATCAGCCTAACCGTCACTTCGAATTTAGACACAAAAGAAGCATCAGAATTGGGGAGGAAGGGTGGGAAGTTTAAGAGGAGGTAAGTACCTATCAGAAATATATTTTCAGTGTAGGAAAATATTAATTTCCAACACAGTATCTTACCCCTTCTGACATAATAACTAGAATCCCATACTGAAAAGGTGGAGAGACCAGTGCAAAAGTGATCTAGGTGAGCACCCTTTGGAAAGCATCCAAAGTATGTCTGTAGAGTGTGACCTCTCTTGAGAGAGGAACACACCCATGTGAGACTGCACCACATCTGTATGCAGAATTGGGTGGAAAATAGGTGTAGCACATCCATTAATGTACACGTGTTGGTTGGTCTAGCTCAACAGCAAACACAAACACCTGGAAATCAACATCCAGGAGATGGCAGGATGGAGGGTTCCCAACCAAATATAATGATGGTGAGGAAAACTAAATGGATATGCCCCATAGTGTAGAATGGCTATTGCATGTCAGACCATACCCAGTGAGTCAACTCCAGTCCAAAACCAGGCAGCAATGGCTATTAATCATCCATTCCACAGTAGAAGGAGGGCCCCTAGTGTGTTCACCTCAAGCCTATGAGACAGAAGGGAAAATGTTCCATTCTGTCTCACTAGACAGAGCACATGTAAGAAATCCTCAACCAACACCAGCCACTTGTGAAAACAACATCAAAACGGCGGTAGGAAGAGAAGTGCCAGTATGGTGGTTCACTCAAATTCAAAACCAACTGGACTTCTGGTTCCTAATCCAGCTCCATACATTACTAGAATTTACAAGTCACAATCTGCAAGTGGTATGCCGGGGGTACCCCAACCCACCAGAGTACCTGTTAGTCAGTCCAGCTTCTTGCAATACAGAACTGACAAGCCTCAGCTTGATGAAGGAGATATGCCAGGAGTACCCCAACCAAGTAGTACATTAAAAGGAGTAGAAAAGAAGGTTTTAAGGGATAAATGATAGAGGGAACAGGTAGCCAAGGGTACAGAGGAAGGATGGGTAAGGGTGTGGAGAACAAAATTCATATCCAAATCCAGCAATATTGTTGGGCAAGGAGGATGACTAATCTGGAAGGAATGTAATAAAAGGAAAAAGTGCAGTACCTGGTAAAACGGAATGTACTAGGCAAGGCTGCTCGATATCCTACTATGGCAGATATTGAGGAATTCAGATGAAACAGCCAGGTAAAATTCTGCAGTTGGTCAGGAAGGAAGGAACCCAGTGGTGAAAATTTCACCACTTTCTCTGACAAATCATGAATGAGGAAGGGTAAATTGAATGGGACGAAAATGATACCACACTCATAGATAGCCTGGATGTCCTTGCAAAGGACCAGACAAAAGCCACGCGTGAAGACGAAGTGTGGGAAGTGCAGGATGAAAATTTTGTAACATCTGAACATAACTGTACCTAAATGAAAAGTGAAGGCTAGACTGAATAGAATAGATGGAGTAACCTATGTCAGAAGTGTGTCGCACTCCTATTGGTGGAGGGTTGCCACATACTTATTTGCATACAAAGATGCAATAGAATCACATTCAACGTGGGGTAGGTGGGAGTGTCAAGGCTAGTGATGAGCAAAAACACTTGTGCATATAGAGAGCAGCACTGAATGAAAGAAGCTATTATGTGAATGAAGGTAAGATATCATGTCAGAATTACCTTTTTATATGCTTTCATTCTTGTTTCAACATTATTTTGAATATTGTTTTTATATTGGATATCTTATTTAATCAGATCTTGTAAATAATTATGTATATCTGATGAATATTTATAAAACAAATAAAGCTTACCATCAATTTTGTTTGCAGCACAAAGACATGGTATCTCTGGTCTGTACTCTCTGAGTTCCTTGTACCAATTTGGTAAGTTTTTATAGGTAATCTTTCTAGTTACATCAAAAACCTGAAATATTTGATACCAGCATTTACTAATTAATAAATAGCAACAAAAACATCTGTCAGTAAATTTGAGAAACCTGACATTTCATTAAACCAGTGTAACAGTTAATAACTAAGATGAAGTGACAGTAATCTTAAAAATCAAATGTAAAAAAAAAGGTTTTAAGGAGATTATCATTTAGTTGTACAGGTTATAATATATTATCATTTAGTTGTACAGGTTATAATATATTATCATTTAGTTGTACAGGTTATAATATATTATCATTTAGTTGTACAGGTTATAATATATTATTATTTAGTTGTACAGGTTATAATATATTGTCATTTTTTGTAAAAGGATACAGTTTTTACATTCATTACTTAAACTGTACTGTTGTCAATCTAAAGCACAAAATGTAGACTTAACTAGATGCATATAAAATCTTCATCACTCCAAGAGCTTGTGAGCATTAATCTGAATGCAAGATCTATAGAATGGAAGTTCAGATTTATTATTAAATTACAATGTAAATAATATAATTTGTTCTAAAAATGTTGAATTACTTAGTGAATTTGTGATCCTCACCTGAGGATGCATCACTCCCCAAAACTTGTAAATTTGTGATGATTCATAAGCCTGATCTTTTTTCATGAAAATTGCAAGTTTTATACTATCATTTAAGTTAAATTATTTTTGACCTGTAATTCTTTAATCCTCAGCTTATTTCAGTTGAGAAGTTCTCAACTGGAAATGGTTTATAAAAAGCTTCTTATCGAGGTGCAAAATAATAGTCAGTGATCAGTCAAAAGCTAACACTTTTTTGTCTATGACCAGACATATTTACATAAGCTCAGCCATATTGATTTGATGTGTATTTATAATACTATGGCTATGTGTTTAACATAAGCCACTTTTTTTAAGAATTTAATATACACTTTTATTACCTAAGTAGTGATGGTAGATCTAAACAATATGAAAACTAACTTTAAAAGATGTAAGAAATTAATACACTATAAATACTTGTAACTGCCAATCATGCAAATGTAACACATGCTCTTAGTCTCTAATTCTGCAATTTTCTCAAAGAAAATTCAGCTTTTCCTACAAGCAAGCTCTACAAAGAACTTCTACCAGTAAGCCTCTTGAAAACTCAGACAAGGTGCAAATTTTTGACTGTTTTATGAAGTTTTACTTTCTCTAAGTTAATACTTTAAAAATAATCTACTTAATGAAATTATGTTTATTCATAATAAATATTTGTTTCAAGGATTCTGTTTGATAAACCTAAACTATACATGTATGAACAAGCAAGAAAATTTTAAGTTACAATGTTTGTGCTGATTCTGAGTGTTTGAGTGGATGATTGTTGACCTACATGCATTAAATGACATTATATATTAAGCTGTAAAAAACAAACTTCAAACAAACAAACAAACTTCAGAGTACAAACAAAAGAACAAAATAAATACATAACATTTAAACACAAATAAAGTAATTTTTATTACTTACTAATATACAGGCATGGGCTTGATGATAATAAGAGGGATGCATACTGCTGAATCTTTCTTGACCTGCTGTATCCCAGAAGTCTAATTATAAAAGAAGAAAAAATCAATTACCATGTCATAAGCATGGAAAGTTTACATAACAACTAAAATACAGTGAAATATTTGCCCCCCCCCCCCACAGATTTCTTTTTAGTATTTTCAACTAAAACCTGTCATTTAAAGTTGAATTAAAAAACTTGATTTTTAGCTTTTAGTACATAAAAGCTGGATCATACTGTTCTGACTTCATTGTATTTATAATTTGTTTGAATGATTTAATTTTCTATTAACTTATGAAAGATTTTAACTGCTTTAAAGTAGATATCATCAATAAATAAAATCCTGAAATAGTCATAACTGAAGATAAAAAATTATTAATACATTTCAAGAAAAATAACTTACCAACAACAACAGGTTCACCTTCAACATCAGTTGTGTATCTAAAAAGGGTTAATGCATATGTGGATAACTGATGAGGCTGACTGGTAAATGGACGTATAGGAACTTTTAATCATTTTCATACAAATACAAAACTATTATTTCCACCTTCATACTTAAAATAAATATATATTTCCAACTTAGCTAGCAAAATTGACTATAAAACTACACAAAAAATTTGAGACATATAACTGTAATTGGTAATGACACAAGAACTATAATATTAATGAAATACTTGTACACAAAATCACATTTGGTGGCCCATCCAAATATATACACGTAGCTCTTCCTTTGAATTTATGGGTACAAATTGAAACTTTAACACCGTTAACTATTCATTTACATTTTTTGTTATTAGCTAGGTCTGTTTGATGAATTTTGTGCAAAGCTATTCAAGAACTATCTGCTCTAGCTGTCAATATTTTTAAAGTGATTAACTAGAGGGAAAGCAGCTATTCAACAGCATCCAACACCAACTCTTGAGCCACTCTTTACCAATGAATAGTGGGATAAACCATTACATTATACAGTCCCCATGGCTAAAAGGGGGAGCATGTTCAGTAATGGTAAATTCATGACCCACAGATTGCAAACTGATTGTCCTAACCACTAGAGTGTGCCAGGCCTAAAGAGCCTTTGGAATTTCCAGTAATTAGTACATCTGAAAAATGATTCATTTCCTTTGGTTTTTGAGATAAACTTTGCTTAGTTGATGCAAGTTTCAAAATTAAAAGAAATGTTTCACATGTTCTTTAACAAAAAAATTAAAACATTCATCATTAAATTGCAGATTTTAATTTAAAGAAGTTTTGATGTCATTACTCACTAACATTTCACTGGAAGACATTATGGACATATGTTTCTCAAAACTATTCCAAGAAGATCAGGTTTATGAAGAATTTAACTAAGAATCAACTTAACTCTTGATGATTCTTGCTGTCAAAAGCAACCACCTGAAATTAATATAACAAACTAATTTTGTTATACTTTGTCTCTGTGAGCAAACCTTGTTAAGCAACTGTCCTCTTAAAGTTCGAACAGTATGTTGATGATACTTTTGCTATTTTCACTGAAAATACCATGTCCAACTTTTCCTCAAAATTTTAAACTCGCAACATCCAAACTTTAAATATTTATTTAAAATACTGAAAAAACAATCCCACCTCTTTTTGTCAAATTGCAAGTACTCAGTATTCAAGACTCCATAGGGAAGACTAAATACTATAACTTCTTACTCAGTTTGACACCTTCAAACTACAAACTTAACCTAATCACATTTATCACTTGCTCTAATCATTGAAATTCTCATTCAAAAATCATTTTTAAGCAAGATATGCTAAAACATGATGAAAACCCAAATTACTTGTCATTTAAGAAATGTAACATGAAAAGAATTCAACTAATTTTTAGTTCACATGTAAACACACGTGTAAATATACACAAGTATCCTTTTAAATTTTTCATAGCAAACTTCAAATGAGTAACTGTGAAATACTTTATATGGTTTCTGATATTAGAGAGTACTATTTCACTACTAACATTTTTACAAATGTTTGTGATATTATTAATCAATATAATTGCTTTTTACTGTTTACAAAAGGATACTATCCATCCATTAAAAACCTTTCCACAAGTCTGAAAAAATAAATTTTTTATCATAAATACAAACATGTACACAAATTTACAAATAAAATGAACTTAAATTCTTACAGTACTTAGTCTTGGTTTTTACAAATAGCCTACTTTCCTCAATCAACAATAAATGAAAAATAAAACATACTGAAACACATATATATATATATACAAATTTCTCATGCACAGACTGGAGAATAAAACATTAAACTATTCAAAATAACTTTTATTTATATGAAATTATTAACACATCAATGCTTTGTTAGTTGCTAAGGGCTACATTTCCCCAACAACTAAGATCGCAAAGCTCAGAAACCCCAGTTACATATAGCATTCACTTCTCTTGAAGGCAAGTACCAAAATGAGCACCTGAAGTGGAAAGGGTGGGTAGAAGTGTGTGTGTGTGTGTATATATATCAATAATACATTTCCTGGTAAGGAAACTGTTAACTTTCGAGATAACTCATCTTCACACATAGATTAGCTACAATCCCATGATGATATGGTGGATGGACCAGTGCTAAATATACCCAGATGAGAACCCTTAAGAAAGTGACCAAAAGATGCCCACGGGATGTGACACCCAATGGCAGAAGGCTTCATAAGGGCACATCTTGTCTCATCCAGGGTATACTCTTCCCTCATATAGGAAAAGGGATGAGGTATAGAAGCCAAATTTGTGTCACAGGGATGGGCAGAATTAGAACATGACCATCTGAGTACTTGCACACAAGTTATTGGACAGCCTATATGTGCAATGTGGTTGGGGCACACTCACACCATACCTAGTGTACTTACTTCAACTCTATGATCAGACTCTTAAGGGACTGACACCAGCTGTGGGAGGAGGGCATGTGATAAGCATCAGTGCTCACCTCAATTGTACCATCAGATTCAATGGCATCATCAACATACTGTTTGAGCTTTAAGAGGACAGTTGCTTAACAAGGTTTGCTCACAGAGACAAAGTATAACAAAATTAATTTGTTATATTAATTTCAGGTGGTTGCTTTTGACAGCAAGTCATCAAGAGTTAAGTTGATTCTTAGTTAAACCATCAGACTCTAGCTGCAGAAGGAGGGCACATTTTTTGGTAATATGGATACTTTTGTAGGCCTCAACTCTACTACCAGACACTAAGGGACTAACACCAGCTGCAGGAGAAGGGTATGACAGAGATACATCACAGGTTTGTATAAAGTTCTTGCTTCAACTCTACTACCAGACTCTACAGGATTTACACCAGCTGTGGAAGGAAGGTACATTGGTCAGGTAGTAAGGACCGATTCAGAGCATAGTCACCTCAACTCTACTGAACAGGCTGCAGAAGAAGAATGTGATATATGTATATATAGATAGATAGATTAGTATTGTATGGCAAGTGCTCATCTCAATTCAACTGAACAGATACTATGGAATAGATTTTATCTGCACCGTTATGAAGTATTGGTCCATTTTTATTACATGCTCACCTCAACTCTACTGGACAGATGCAAAGAAGGTCCCTGGATGCCCATTGGTTCTTCAGTCTGAAAAGGTCTTTTACTGGAGACAGTGAAATTGATGACCATGAAGTCCTATTTTCAAAAGCAAGCAAGCATGAGCCAGAGAAGTGGGAGGCATACACTTCCCTAGTGCTGGCTTTTTCTGTGATAGTCCATGGAATAAGTACAGTCTGGATTGGACAATAGAGTGAATACATACATATATATATATATATTTACCACAAGGATATCTCCAGGAGTTTTGTAGAACAACCCATCTCATAAGTGGGCTGATGTAGAGCCAGAGTGGATGGTATGAGCACTCTCCATTCTCCTGGCTCAATGCAGATTTTGGGTAAGTATACTCTGAAAGACAACACCAGCCACCTGGTAGGATTCTATGTAATCAAAGAGGAACTCTGGAAGAGAAGTAGTAAATATTCTTCTCAAAGATGGTGGGGTGATTGAAGAATGATGACTTGTAGATGCATAAAACCATCAGGAGATAAAACAGACAGAATATGTACAGAAGGAGGTAAGATGAGGCCTAGCAGAGAAATTGACAGCCAGAGCCTAAGGATAAAAAATAGAGGACCATAAGAGAGGAAGCCCAGAGTGGAGAAGAGTGACAAAATTGTCCAATATGGACATGCCCAACCAGCAGTAAATCCCACGGAATATCCAAGGGTGTAGAGGCTATTCCGTTGATAGAATACAGACTGGCCAAGAGAGCCAGTCCACAACCAAGATTGAAGCTCATAGAAAAGGATATGAATGGGCTCAGATGTGTATGGTTAATGCCCAAAACAAAAGGCTCATGAACACAAACCAAAAAGACAAATGGAGCAGGAAAAGACCTTGCAATAGGCTGAGTGGAACATGAAAAAGTGAACCATTAGTAGGGGCAGGAATGAGAAGGCTAAGCACATTAATGTGGCGTGAACTCTTAGCCAGCATCTAAGCATCAGAAGTCCTGTCCTTATCAAAAAATGTACCTGAACCAGAGAGAGAAGCATTGAAGAAGGAAGAGGTGGTAAGGGAATACAGGGTCCAGTTACCATGACAATTCCTTGAGGAGAAGCTCACAAAATAGGACAAAGGATCCAAGAAAGAAAACCTTTGGCCCACAAGGTTCACTGAAGGAGATATATGGGGACATGCTCCAAAGGGATGAGGAGTTTTATGGAAGCCAGAGTCTACAAAAGCAAAAGAACCTCTCATGCAGGCAGAGAACAAGAAGTATAAAACCTGGTGACCAGGTGAAGAAGACAAGATGAAGTCAGTGGATATGGGAAGAAAATGCCCATAATTACCCAAAAGTGAGGTGTGAGAAAGAGCCCCAAGATTAGCCCCCCCCCAACTGAGTAACTGAGTAGACACCATAAAAGGGAGATAGAAGAAGAAACATCCAAGAATGGGTAAACATATAAATAGCTAAAGAAAAAGGGATGCTAGCCCAAGTTCATGAATATTTCAAGTGAAAGCCCTCGCGATACCAAAAAATACAAGAAATGACAACAATGAGTCAAAGGGAAGATGCAAAAAATGGAACAAAGAAAGAAAAGAGAGGACAGGCTAAGTGAGATGTGTAGGAGGGTGTCTGATACATCAACCATGGTCAACCACAGACTTTTCACAGAAAAGTGAAGAGAAGTAAGGAAAGAGGCTTAGCAGTTAAGTGGAGAGGTGGTAAATGAATGTTAGCAGAAATTGGGACCAACAGAAGAGAAGGGTAAGATACCCATTAAGAGGTATATATATGTGTGATAGTCACTGTCAAGAAGAATGATGAATGAGACTTCTAGTAAAGGGAAGATCAGAAGAAAAAAAAAAGAGAGTAAGGCCTGGAACTGAGAATATAAAGGTAGGAAGGAGAGTGATCTAGATGAGGAATAGGAGAAAAGGACAACATTGAGAAAGTGGAAAAACCTAAAAAGATAACAAGGATAGAAATCATATAACATCAGACCAGGTCACCAGGAGAAAAGGAACACCACTGAAAACATCTGAGTAATGAAATGGAGTCAGGCAATAAGTACACAAGAAGAAGGAAGAAGTACAATAAAGAGGAATGTAGCCCAACTCAAGGAGTCCTGGCAGTAGAGGAATAATGTGTGGAAAGATAGAGCAGAAGAAGTAAAAGTGGTCAAAGAGAAAAGGGAACAAATGTCTACAGAAGCCATCAGAAGCACTAAGTGCCTTAGATAAAAGGTGGAGTTAGGAAAGGGAATACAGAAGGGTGGAGAGAAAAAAAGACAATAATGGGGAAACTAAAAAGTGAAATAGAATTTCCAAGATTATCAGATAGATACTAATGACAGGAAATCTTTAAATCAGGACAAAAGGAGCTATTAGATGAAGGAAACAGTAAAATATCTAATAACAAGCATAACAAGCAAATAGAAAAGACAAGATAAACCAAGAATCCTGGGCCAGGATGTGAGAAAATGAAATATAATACAGAATGCAGACAAAAGAGATGGAAAGAAACATACTTGAGAGGAAAATCCAAGAAAAGATTGAAAGGTTAAAGTCATTTCACAATGGAAAAGAACTACCCAGAGCAAATCAGGTGAAGGTCATCATTTAATAGATCATTCCTGATTGAAGAGAAATAAAGTTGGACAACAAGATGGGAGTAGAAGGCCCATTAAACACATGGTAATCCATAATATGTTGAACTATGGCTGGAATCACTCTGACAGTTAATGACCCTCCAAAAGCCACAGCATAAATAAGGCCTAAGTGTGAATAATGTCCAACATTCAGAACTAAATATAAATAACCATCAACTGAGCATTCATGAAAAAACAAAATTTAGCTTTTGAAACAAAAGCTAAAGAAAATAAATATCAAAGTTTCATTAATTAAGCAAATCTAAATAACTTGAACAAAGTCTGTACAAAACAATGCAGAGGAGAAAAATGAAGATTCACAAGTGTAAATGCACAGGGAGAGTTCGTGCTCATGGTGTTATGTCACCCTCCTATTGGTGGAGTACTTTCGCTGCATGATGAAATCATCATCACAATTTATGTAAGGTCACTTGAAATAAGATAGGAGTGGCATGCAAATTTCTTTGGAAGACATGCTGAAGAAGATAGCTAATCTGTGTGAGGAGGCGAGTTATCATCTTGGAATGTAATTTTTTTATTTCTTTCTGAAAGAACTAAGCTAGATGTCTTTTCTTCAATATTATATACAATAATTTAAAATATGCCCTTTGCTGCTTCACATTTTTTTCTGGGAGCATTAACCTTTATTCTGGTAAATTCTCATAAAAATCATACTTTCAAAAGAAAGGATAACTACTAATTTGAGTTACGACTTTTTACATTTATGAGGAAATGACAGGTATAGATGTACATAAGGGGAGCCTCTTCTTATTTTTTTATACATAACTCCTGTTTAGCTAAGCCTTCAGTTTGGTAATCAGATTTCACCAAAGTTGCTTTTAATATGTTTTAAATATATATATTTAAATTGTTCTGTGTTTAAAACCTGTCATTAATTGCACTT